AAGGTGGGGGAAGGAAGGTGGAATGGAAGGAATGGAGGAACGGAATGGAATGGAATGGAATGGCGAAATGGATGGAAATGGAGGAATGAAAATGGATGGAAGGAAGGAAGGAATGGAATGGAATGGAAAGGATGGATGGAAGGGATGGAAATGGAATGGAAGGATGGAAGGATGGAATGGATGGAATGGAAGGATGGATGGAATGGAATGGAATGGAATGGATATGATACTGAAACGATCTGCTACACATGTTCATGAGAATCTGGATCAGACTCTAAATTATATATTGAAAGGCATGTAGTGTTATACAATTTCACGAACTGTCTTTTAAAATAGCATGTCGACTATATCTTGAAGACTGCTGCCGTTATAGCTGTCAGATACATCCATCGACAAAAGATCGTGTATACTCACTCTCAACTTCGTGAAGAAGTCCTGTAAATTGAGACAGGAATTAAAATATTAAGGAAAAGTTAAATCACACAAAGGTCTAGGTAACTGATAACTAGTTTTGAGAACGAAGCTCTACTGAATTCGTTTACAGATCATTTCTGTGCGTTTTAGTTGACGTGAGCAGCATTGATAATGACGGGGTAGGAGCAGAGGTTGAAGTCAAAATACGGACAAGGGTTATAATCCTAGAGTTATGCCACACATATATTTAGGTTTCTAGATATAGTTTAGTTGGTTCTTAAAATGGATATTGCAGCCTGAGCATTTTAAATATTACTTCATGAGAAATCATCTGGGTTGACATATTACGTACCTTGCCAATGTTTTAAGCTCATCAAGGAAATTTCTGCGTTCACTAGAATGTGGAGTGGAAAATACAGATGAAAAATAATTGCTTATTAATTTCATGCAGTTTCTAGATCGCCTAAGTAACATAAGTATGTCTTATATACAATGGCAGTTTAACACAATATTTCGGTCAGTGTAGACATTCGAATCAAGATGGTAGAAATAAATATCTGAAAGTGGAATGAACCCTTCCGTTAATATGACAAAGATTACAAGAAAAAGAAATATTGGAAGGACATCAATCACCAGGACGAGACCATCACAATCTAATAAAATAAAATTAAACAAGACAATGCAAAAGAACATGAGATTAGATATAATGCGCAAAACCCACTTTCGTAAATAGTAAGAAATCCGAGTTAAAACACGAATCCATTTTACGATTCACACGGCAGTATATGCAGATATTGCAACTATGTCACTCACATTTCACGCTTGCCAACACCAGCCAGAAGAGCGGGCAGTGCACTCTCGATGACAGTTGGGGCGAGATCTGGAAATGAGGACAAGTGCTGATAGACCACACAAAATGTGATACTGTAGCGATCTGCTACATATGCTCATAAGAGTTAATTGGGATCATGCTCTTAAATATTTATTGAAGGACACAATGTAGTGTCATGCAATTTCACGCACTTTTTAATCTACACACCATGTAAATTCTAAAAGACTGCTGCCGTTTTAGCTGTCAGCTTAAAATTATCTACAAAAGATCGTGTATACTCACTCTCAACTTCGTGAAGAAGACCTGTAAATTGAGACAGGAATTAAAATATTAAGGAAGAGTTAAATCACATAAAGGTCTAGGTAACTGATAACTAGTTTTGAGGACGAAGCTCTGTTGAATTCGTTTACAGATCATTTCTGTGCGTTTTAGTTGACGTGAGTAGCATTGGTAATGACGGGGTAGGAGCAGAGGTTGAAGTCAAAATACGGACAAGGTTTAAAATCTTAGAGTTATGCCACACATATATTTAGGTTTCTAGATATAGTTTAGTTGGTTCTTACAATGGATATTGTAGCTTGAGCATTTTAAATAGTACTTCATGAGAAATCATCTGGGTTGACATATTACGTACCTTTGCCAATGTTTTTCAGGTCATCAAGGAAGTTTCTGCGCTCACTGGAATGTAGAGGGGAATACATATATGTAAGTTGTTCGATAATGGTTTCACGGGCTTTGTACACCATTCAGGTAACACAATTATGTCTAATATACAATGGCATTTTAAGACTACATTACGGTCAGTGTATACACTCGAATCAAGATGGTGAAAAAATATTATAGTCAATGAAACCTTCTGTAAATATAACAAAGATGTGATGAAGAAGAAATATTAGAATGACATTCAGCATCAGGATGAAACTATGTCAATCTTAGACCCTTATCGAACAGATGTAAACAAGCCCATTTTTTTGAAAGAGGGTGAGAATAGGTATATTGGGAAAAATCACTTTCTTTCATCAAAGACATCCCAGTTAAAGTGCGAATCCATTTAACGATTGGCACGGCAGTATATGCAGATATTGCAACTATGTCACTCACACTCCGCGCTTGCCAACACCAGCCAGAAGAGCGGGCAGTGCACTCGATGACAGTTGGGGCGAGATCTGGAAATGAGGACAAGTGCTGATAGACCACACAAAATGTGATACTGTAGCGATCTGCTACATATGCTCATTAGAGTTAATTGGGATCAGGCTCTTAACTATTTATTGAAGGACACAATGTAGTGTCATGCAATTTCACGCACTTTTTAATCTACACACCATGTAAATTCTAAAAGACTGCTGCCGTTTTAGCTGTCAGCTTAAAATTATCTACAAAAGATCGTGTATACTCACTCTCAACTTCGTGAAGAAGACCTGTAAATTGAGACAGGAATTAAAATATTAAGGAAGAGTTAAATCACATAAAGGTCTAGGTAACTGATAACTAGTTTTGAGGACGAAGCTCTGTTGAATTCGTTTACAGATCATTTCTGTGCGTTTTAGTTGACGTGAGTAGCATTGGTAATGACGGGGTAGGAGCAGAGGTTGAAGTCAAAATACGGACAAGGTTTAAAATCTTAAACTTATGCCACACATATATTTAGGTTTCTAGATATAGTTTAGTTGGTTCTTACAATGGATATTGCAGCTTGAGCATTTTAAATATTACTTCATAAGAAATCATCTGGGTTGACATATTACGTACCTTTGCCAATGTTTTTCAGGTCATCAAGGAAGTTTCTGCGCTCACTGGAATGTAGAGGGGAATATATATATGCAAGTTGTTCGATAATGGTTTCACGGGCTTTGTACACCATTCAGGTAACACAATTATGTCTAATATACAATGGCATTTTAAGACTACATTACGGTCAGTGTATACACTCAAATCAAGATGGTGAAAAAATATTATAGTCAATGAAACCTTCTGTAAATATAACAAAGATGTGATGAAGAAGAAATATTAGAATGACATTCAGCATCAGGATGAAACTATGTCAATCTTAGACCCTTATCGAACAGATGTAAACAAGCCCATTTTTTTGAAAGAGGGTGAGAATAGGTATATTGGGAAAAATCACTTTCTTTCATCAAAGACATCCCAGTTAAAGTGCGAATCCATTTAACGATTGGCACGGCAGTATATGCAGATATTGCAACTATGTCACTCACACTCCGCGCTTGCCAACACCAGCCAGAAGAGCGGGCAGTGCACTCTCGATGACAGTTGGGGCGAGATCTGGAAATGAGGACAAGTGCTGATAGACCACACAAAATGTGATACTGTAGCGATCTGCTACATATGCTCATTAGAGTTAATTGGGATCAGGCTCTTAACTATTTATTGAAGGACACAATGTAGTGTCATGCAATTTCACGCACTTTTAATCTACACACCATGTAAATTCTAAAAGACTGCTGCCGTTTTAGCTGTCAGCTTAAAATTATCTACAAAAAGATCGTGTATACTCACTCTCAACTTCGTGAAGAAGACCTGTAAATTGAGACAGGAATTAAAATATTAAGGAAGAGTTAAATCACATAAAGGTCTAGGTAACTGATAACTAGTTTTGAGGACGAAGCTCTGTTGAATTCGTTTACAGATCATTTCTGTGCGTTTTAGTTGACGTGAGTAGCATTGGTAATGACGGGGTAGGAGCAGAGGTTGAAGTCAAAATACGGACAAGGTTTAAAATCTTAAACTTATGCCACACATATATTTAGGTTTCTAGATATAGTTTAGTTGGTTCTTACAATGGATATTGCAGCTTGAGCATTTTAAATAGTACTTCATGAGAAATCATCTGGGTTGACATATTACGTACCTTTGCCAATGTTTTTCAGGTCATCAAGGAAGTTTCTGCGCTCACTGGAATGTAGAGGGAAAATATATATATGCAAGTTGTTCGATAATGGTTTCACGGGCTTTGTACACCATTCAGGTAACACAATTATGTCTAATATACAATGGCATTTTAAGACTACATTACGGTCAGTGTATACACTCAAATCAAGATGGTGAAAAAATATTATAGTCAATGAAACCTTCTGTAAATATAACAAAGATGTGATGAAGAAGAAATATTAGAATGACATTCAGCATCAGGATGAAACTATGTCAATCTTAGACCCTTATCGAACAGATGTAAACAAGCCCATTTTTTTGAAAGAGGGTGAGAATAGATATATTGGGAAAAATCACTTTCTTTCATCAAAGACATCCCAGTTAAAGTGCGAATCCATTTTACGATTGACACTGCAGTATATGCAGATATTGCAACTATGTCACTCACACTCACGCTTGCCAACACCAGCCAGAAGAGCGGGCAGTGCACTCTCGATGACAGTTGGGGCGAGATCTGGAAATGAGGACAAGTGCTGATAGACCACACAAAATGTGATACTGTAGCGATCTGCTACATATGCTCATTAGAGTTAATTGGGATCAGGCTCTTAACTATTTATTGAAGGACACAATGTAGTGTCATGCAATTTCACGCACTTTTAATATACACACCATGTAAATTCTAAAGACTGCTGCCGTTTTAGCTGTCAGCTTAAAATTATCTACAAAAGATCGTGTATACTCACTCTCAACTTCGTGAAGAAGACCTGTAAATTGAGACAGGAATTAAAATATTAAGGAAGAGTTAAATCACATAAAGGTCTAGGTAACTGATAACTAGTTTTGAGGACGAAGCTCTGTTGAATTCGTTTACAGATCATTTCTGTGCGTTTTAGTTGACGTGAGTAGCATTGGTAATGACGGGGTAGGAGCAGAGGTTGAAGTCAAAATACGGACAAGGTTTAAAATCTTAAACTTATGCCACACATATATTTAGGTTTCTAGATATAGTTTAGTTGGTTCTTACAATGGATATTGCAGCTTGAGCATTTTAAATAGTACTTCATAAGAAATCATCTGGGTTGACATATTACGTACCTTTGCCAATGTTTTTCAGGTCATCAAGGAAGTTTCTGCGCTCACTGGAATGTAGAGGGGAAAATATATATGCAAGTTGTTCGTTAATGGTTTCACGGGCTTTGTACACCATTCAGATAACACAATTATGTCTAATATACAATGGCATTTTAAGACTACATTACGGTCAGTGTATACACTTGAATCAAGATGGTGAAAAAATATTATAGTCAATGAAACCTTCTATAAATATAACAAAGATGTGATGAAGAAGGAATATTAGAATGACATTCAGCATCAGGATGAAACTATGTCAATCTTAGACCCTTATCGAACAGATGTAAACAAGCCCATTTTTTTGAAAGAGGGTGAGAATACATATATTGGGAAAAATCACTTTCTTTCATCAAAGACATCCCAGTTAAAGTGCGAATCCATTTTACGATTGACACTGCAGTATATGCAGATATTGCAACTATGTCACTCACACTCCGCGCTTGCCAACACCAGCCAGAAGAGCGGGCAGTGCACTCTCGATGACAGTTGGGGCGAGATCTGGAAATGAGGACAAGTGCTGATAGACCACACAAAATGTGATACTGTAGCGATCTGCTACATATGCTCATTAGAGTTAATTGGGATCAGGCTCTTAACTATTTATTGAAGGACACAATGTAGTGTCATGCAATTTCACGCACTTTTAATATACACACCATGTAAATTCTAAAGACTGCTGCCGTTTTAGCTGTCAGCTTAAAATTATCTACAAAAGATCGTGTATACTCACTCTCAACTTCGTGAAGAAGACCTGTAAATTGAGACAGGAATTAAAATATTAAGGAAGAGTTAAATCACATAAAGGTCTAGGTAACTGATAACTAGTTTTGAGGACGAAGCTCTGTTGAATTCGTTTACAGATCATTTCTGTGCGTTTTAGTTGACGTGAGTAGCATTGGTAATGACGGGGTAGGAGCAGAGGTTGAAGTCAAAATACGGACAAGGTTTAAAATCTTAAACTTATGCCACACATATATTTAGGTTTCTAGATATAGTTTAGTTGGTTCTTACAATGGATATTGCAGCTTGAGCATTTTAAATAGTACTTCATAAGAAATCATCTGGGTTGACATATTACGTACCTTTGCCAATGTTTTTCAGGTCATCAAGGAAGTTTCTGCGCTCACTGGAATGTAGAGGGGAATATATATATGCAAGTTGTTCGATAATGGTTTCACGGGCTTTGTACACCATTCAGGTAACACAATTATGTCTAATATACAATGGCATTTTAAGACTACATTACGGTCAGTGTATACACTCAAATCAAGATGGTGAAAAATATTATAGTCAATGAAACCTTCTGTAAATATAACAAAGATGTGATGAAGAAGAAATATTAGAATGACATTCAGCATCAGGATGAAACTATGTCAATCTTAGACCCTTATCGAACAGATGTAAACAAGCCCATTTTTTTGAAAGAGGGTGAGAATAGGTATATTGGGAAAAATCACTTTCTTTCATCAAAGACATCCCAGTTAAAGTGCGAATCCATTTTACGATTGACACTGCAGTATATGCAGATATTGCAACTATGTCACTCACACTCCGCGCTTGCCAACACCAGCCAGAAGAGCGGGCAGTGCACTCTCGATGACAGTTGGGGCGAGATCTGGAAATGAGGACAAGTACTGATAGACCACACAAAATGTGATACTGTAGCGATCTGCTACATATGCTCATTAGAGTTAATTGGGATCAGGCTCTTAACTATTTATTGAAGGACACAATGTAGTGTCATGCAATTTCACGCACTTTTTAATATACACACCATGTAAATTCTAAAAGACTGCTGCCGTTTTAGCTGTCAGCTTAAAATTATCTACAAAAGATCGTGTATACTCACTCTCAACTTCGTGAAGAAGACCTGTAAATTGAGACAGGAATTAAAATATTAAGGAAGAGTTAAATCACATAAAGGTCTAGGTAACTGATAACTAGTTTTGAGGACGAAGCTCTGTTGAATTCGTTTACAGATCATTTCTGTGCGTTTTAGTTGACGTGAGTAGCATTGGTAATGACGGGGTAGGAGCAGAGGTTGAAGTCAAAATACGGACAAGGTTTAAAATCTTAAACTTATGCCACACATATATTTAGGTTTCTAGATATAGTTTAGTTGGTTCTTACAATGGATATTGCAGCTTGAGCATTTTAAATAGTACTTCATGAGAAATCATCTGGGTTGACATATTACGTACCTTTGCCAATGTTTTTCAGGTCATCAAGGAAGTTTCTGCGCTCACTGGAATGTAGAGGGGAATATATATATGTAAGTTGTTCGATAATGGTTTCACGGGCTTTGTACACCATTCAGGTAACACAATTATGTCTAATATACAATGGCATTTTAAGACTACATTACGGTCAGTGTATACACTCGAATCAAGATGGTGAAAAAATATTATAGTCAATGAAACCTTCTGTAAATATAACAAAGATGTGATGAAGAAGAAATATTAGAATGACATTCAGCATCAGGATGAAACTATGTCAATCTTAGACCCTTATCGAACAGATGTAAACAAGCCCATTTTTTGAAAGAGGGTGAGAATAGGTATATTGGGAAAAATCACTTTCTTTCATCAAAGACATCCCAGTTAAAGTGCGAATCCATTTTACGATTGACACTGCAGTATATGCAGATATTGCAACTATGTCACTCACACTCCGCGCTTGCCAACACCAGCCAGAAGAGCGGGCAGTGCACTCTCGATGACAGTTGGGGCGAGATCTGGAAATGAGGACAAGTGCTGATAGACCACACAAAATGTGATACTGTAGCGATCTGCTACATATGCTCATTAGAGTTAATTGGGATCAGGCTCTTAACTATATAGTGAAGGACACAATGTAGTGTCATGCAATTTCACGCACTTTTTAATATACACACCATGTAAATTCTAAAAGACTGCTGCCGTTTTAGCTGTCAGCTTAAAATTATCTACAAAAGATCGTGTATACTCACTCTCAACTTCGTGAAGAAGACCTGTAAATTGAGACAGGAATTAAAATATTAAGGAAGAGTTAAATCACATAAAGGTCTAGGTAACTGATAACTAGTTTTGAGGTACGAAGCTCTGTTGAATTCGTTTAGAGATCATTTCTGTGCGATTTAGTTGACGTGAGTAGCATTGGTAATGACGGGGTAGGAGCAGAGGTTGAAGTCAAAATACGGACAAGGTTTAAAATCTTAGACTTATGCCACACATATATTTAGGTTTCTAGATATAGTTTAGTTGGTTCTTACAATGGATATTGTAGCTTGAGCATTTTAAATAGTACTTCATGAGAAATCATCTGGGTTGACATATTAAGTACCTTTGCCAATGTTTTTCAGGTCATCAAGGAAGTTTCTGCGCTCACTGGAATGTAGAGGGGAATATATATATGCAAGTTGTTCGATAATGGTTTCACGGGCTTTGTACACCATTCAGGTAACACAATTATGTCTAATATACAATGGCATTTTAAGACTACATTACGGTCAGTGTATACACTCGAATCAAGATGGTGAAAAAATATTATAGTCAATGAAACCTTCTGTAAATATAACAAAGATGTGATGAAGAAGAAATATTAGAATGACATTCAGCATCAGGATGAAACTATGTCAATCTTAGACCCTTATCGAACAGATGTAAACAAGCCCATTTTTTTGAAAGAGGGTGAGAATAGGCATATTGGGAAAAATCACTTTCTTTCATCAAAGACATCCCAGTTAAAGTGCGAATCCATTTTACGATTGACACTGCAGTATATGCAGATATTGCAACTATGTCACTCACACTCCGCGCTTGCCAACACCAGCCAGAAGAGCGGGCAGTGCACTCTCGATGACAGTTGGGGCGAGATCTGGAAATGAGGACAAGTGCTGATAGACCACACAAAATGTGATACTGTAGCGATCTGCTACATATGCTCATTAGAGTTAATTGGGATCAGGCTCTTAACTATATAGTGAAGGACACAATGTAGTGTCATGCAATTTCACGCACCTTTTAATATACACACCATGTAAATTCTAAAAGACTGCTGCCGTTTTAGCTGTCAGCTTAAAATTATCTACAAAAGATCGTGTATACTCACTCTCAACTTCGTGAAGAAGACCTGTAAATTGAGACAGGAATTAAAATATTAAGGAAGAGTTAAATCACATAAAGGTCTAGGTAACTGATAACTAGTTTTGAGGACGAAGCTCTGTTGAATTCGTTTACAGATCATTTCTGTGCGTTTTAGTTGACGTGAGTAGCATTGGTAATGACGGGGTAGGAGCAGAGGTTGAAGTCAAAATACGGACAAGGTTTAAAATCTTAGAGTTATGCCACACATATATTTAGGTTTCTAGATATAGTTTAGTTGGTTCTTACAATGGATATTGCAGCTTGAGCATTTTAAATAGTACTTCATGAGAAATCATCTGGGTTGACATATTAAGTACCTTTGCCAATGTTTTTCAGGTCATCAAGGAAGTTTCTGCGCTCACTGGAATGTAGAGGGGAATATATATATGCAAGTTGTTCGATAATGGTTTCACGGGCTTTGTACACCATTCAGGTAACACAATTATGTCTAATATACAATGGCATTTTAAGACTACATTACGGTCAGTGTATACACTCGAATCAAGATGGTGAAAAAATATTATAGTCAATGAAACCTTCTATAAATATAACAAAGATGTGATGAAGAAGAAATATTAGAATGACATTCAGCATCAGGATGAAACTATGTCAATCTTAGACCCTTATCGAACAGATGTAAACAAGCCCATTTTTTTGAAAGAGGGTGAGAATACATATAATGGGAAAAATCACTTTCTTTCATCAAAGACATCCCAGTTAAAGTGCGAATCCATTTTACGATTGACACTGCAGTATATGCAGATATTGCAACTATGTCACTCACACTCCGCGCTTGCCAACACCAGCCAGAAGAGCGGGCAGTGCACTCTCGATGACAGTTGGGGCGAGATCTGGAAATGAGGACAAGTGCTGATAGACCACACAAAATGTGATACTGTAGCGATCTGCTACATATGCTCATTAGAGTTAATTGGGATCAGGCTCTTAACTATATAGTGAAGGACACAATGTAGTGTCATGCAATTTCACGCACCTTTTAATATACACACCATGTAAATTCTAAAAGACTGCTGCCGTTTTAGCTGTCAGCTTAAAATTATCTACAAAAGATCGTGTATACTCACTCTCAACTTCGTGAAGAAGACCTGTAAATTGAGACAGGAATTAAAATATTAAGGAAGAGTTAAATCACATAAAGGTCTAGGTAACTGATAACTAGTTTTGAGGACGAAGCTCTGTTGAATTCGTTTACAGATCATTTCTGTGCGTTTTAGTTGACGTGAGTAGCATTGGTAATGACGGGGTAGGAGCAGAGGTTGAAGTCAAAATACGGACAAGGTTTAAAATCTTAGAGTTATGCCACACATATATTTAGGTTTCTAGATATAGTTTAGTTGGTTCTTACAATGGATATTGCAGCTTGAGCATTTTAAATAGTACTTCATGAGAAATCATCTGGGTTGACATATTACGTACCTTTGCCAATGTTTTCAGGTCATCAAGGAAGTTTCTGCGCTCACTGGAATGTAGAGGGAATATATATATGCAAGTTGTTCGATAATGGTTTCACGGGCTTTGTACACCATTCAGGTAACACAATTATGTCTAATATACAATGGCATTTTAAGACTACATTACGGTCAGTGTATACACTCAAATCAAGATGGTGAAAAAATATTATAGTCAATGAAACCTTCTATAAATATAACAAAGATGTGATGAAGAAGGAATATTAGAATGACATTCAGCATCAGGATGAAACTATGTCAATCTTAGACCCTTATCGAACAGATGTAAACAAGCCCATTTTTTGAAGAGGGTGAGAATACATATAATGGGAAAAATCACTTTCTTTCATCAAAGACATCCCAGTTAAAGTGCGAATCCATTTTACGATTGACACTGCAGTATATGCAGATATTGCAACTATGTCACTCACACTCCGCGCTTGCCAACACCAGCCAGAAGAGCGGGCAGTGCACTCTCGATGACAGTTGGGGCGAGATCTGGAAATGAGGACAAGTGCTGATAGACCACACAAAATGTGATACTGTAGCGATCTGCTACATATGCTCATTAGAGTTAATTGGGATCAGGCTCTTAACTATATAGTGAAGGACACAATGTAGTGTCATGCAATTTCACGCACCTTTTAATATACACACCATGTAAATTCTAAAAGACTGCTGCCGTTTTAGCTGTCAGCTTAAAATTATCTACAAAAGATCGTGTATACTCACTCTCAACTTCGTGAAGAAGACCTGTAAATTGAGACAGGAATTAAAATATTAAGGAAGAGTTAAATCACATAAAGGTCTAGGTAACTGATAACTAGTTTTGAGGACGAAGCTCTGTTGAATTCGTTTACAGATCATTTCTGTGCGTTTTAGTTGACGTGAGTAGCATTGGTAATGACGGGGTAGGAGCAGAGGTTGAAGTCAAAATACGGACAAGGTTTAAAATCTTAGAGTTATGCCACACATATATTTAGGTTTCTAGATATAGTTTAGTTGGTTCTTACAATGGATATTGCAGCTTGAGCATTTTAAATAGTACTTCATGAGAAATCATCTGGGTTGACATATTACGTACCTTTGCCAATGTTTTTCAGGTCATCAAGGAAGTTTCTGCGCTCACTGGAATGTAGAGGGGAAAATATATATGCAAGTTGTTCGTTAATGGTTTCACGGGCTTTGTACACCATTCAGATAACACAATTATGTCTAATATACAATGGCATTTTAAGATTACATTACGGTCAGTGTATACAATCAAATCAAGATGGTGAAAAAATATTATAGTCAATGAAACCTTCTATAAATATAACAAAGATGTGATGAAGAAGGAATATTAGAATGACATTCAGCATCAGGATGAAACTATGTCAATCTTAGACCCTTATCGAACAGATGTAAACAAGCCCATTTTTTTGAAAGAGGGTGAGAATACATATATTGGGAAAAATCACTTTCTTTCATCAAAGACATCCCAGTTAAAGTGCGAATCCATTTTACGATTGGCACTGCAGTATATGCAGATATTGCAACTATGTCACTCACACTCCGCGCTTGCCAACACCAGCCAGAAGAGCGGGCAGTGCACTCTCGATGACAGTTGGGGCGAGATCTGGAAATGAGGACAAG